CCACCTGAGGCTGGGGAAGTGAGCTCTGGCTGTGGGGAAAAACAAATCGGGTGGAAAGGAGAACGTAGGTTTAAGGGCAAGTCCGTCTGGAAGGATTATGTGGGCGGTGGGAGGGATAAAACCAGAGAAGGAAGAAACAGAAAGCAGCTAGGTCTAGATAGTGGAGTGAATCCTCTCTCTGGGAGAAGCTATAACTTGGATTCCTTTCCTTCAGAAACGTTGATTTCTTGGCTGTGCCCCATGTGAGGGGTTAGCCCAGCTCGGGGAACGGTGCACGGGAGCTTGGGGTGAGGTGGATAATAAGTTCTCTGCGGTGAAATTTCTGGACCACCCAAGTGCTTCCTTCATTCCACATAAAACCTCTGAGTCCTGCAGTAGACGCACAGGAATCTCTCTCCACCGAATTCTGGTTCAACAGCTCTTGAAACTGTCCCGATTGGGGATTGGCGGGGTGTGGGGGGGGGAGATGTGGAGCATGTGAAGATGAGAACTCTCAAGGTCGTGTTTACTTACCTGCATTGCATCAACTAAAATTGGGTCCCCCCCCCCACCAGAGCTCGCCAAGCTGTTACGAAATACTCCGTGTGACAAAACGTGGCCAATGTGTCAGAGCCTTGTACTTGACCCCTTTTCAACCTGAAGTATTTTGATGTGTTTCCGGATTTCACTCCTCAGGAAGAGCCACCTCCTAACCTGTCACCTGCTTCCCCTGGCTTGTGCCTCCACGTGTTTAAACAATCTGCTACCACCGAATTTCCTGAGTCATCAAGCTAAGGCATGATCTGATCTCCTACTCTGCAAGGTGAAGATTTAGCCCTTGGCTAATTCCCGCTCACCCCTGGCCCACCTCTATGTGGCAGTTAGTTTAAATTTTCTGATTAAATGGAGAACGGAAAAAAAAAAAAAATTCTTACGGGCATGTTAATATTCTTCCTGTGGAGTCAAATAATATGATTTTATTTCCTTGCCGTTTGCAAAATTTTCTCGTTCTTGGAGTTAATAATTACCTTATATTTTAAAATTTCCTTTGTTTTTGGTTTTTGGGTTTTTTTAATTTTTTTTTTTTAAATGTTTACTTATTTGGGGGAGAGAGGGACAGAACATGAACAGGGGAGGGGCAGAAAGAGAGGGAGACACAGAATCTGAAGCAGGTTCCAAATTCTGAGCTGTCAGCACAGAGCCCATTGTGAGGCTCAAACTCCCAAACCACGAGGTCATAACCTGAGCTGAAGTCCGACGCTTAACTGACTGAGCCACCCAGGCGCCCTTAAATTTCCTTTGTTATCCAGGTACTGTTGTTAATTCTTAAACTTGCCAACAGAATGTACTTTCCCACCAGCCCTATTTTCCACATACATCAGGTTTCCTTCCAGTTAAATAGTGTTCCTGGCTAGGTTCCCCTGGAGCCCTATCTTCCTGCTCCAGGCCAGCCAGAGTCTCCCTTGGCTCTGCCCAGACATCAAACTGGGACTGCCCTTCTCACGAAGTCCTTCTATCTTGAGTTGGGGTCCCCTGTTTCCTAACGCAGTCATTTTGGTAGAGTACTTTCAGAGAAGGGATACAGAAGATGTAGAAGTTTTGTGAAAATGACTGTATTCTATCTTCACACTTGGTTGCTAGTTTGGCTGGGTATAGACTTTTCCTTCAGAATGCTGAAGGCATTGCTCCTTTGACATATGGCTTCCCATGTTCACGTTTGGAAAGTCTCATGCTACTCTGATTTCCAATTTTGATCTATTTCTAGGGATGTTCTCTTGATCCCTCTGAAGGGGAAGAATATATTGAGCATTTGTCATACATTAGACACTGTGTTAGAAGCTTTACATACTCTCGCCTTGCTTAGTCCTCACCAAAAATAAACAAACCTGAGATAGAAATTACTTTTTCTCCTCTCACATAGGGTAACTGAGACTCAGAGAAAGTAAGTGTATTGCCCAACACATGGGGCCTGTCATTACAGGGTATACTATAATGAGGACTGCAGAATCTCAAAAAAAGTTTCTCCTGTCACGCATCCTCCATGATTGTCGGTGAGCTCTGCCTGTCACAGTCACTCACGGACCCCATTTCCGGAAGCTCTGACTACACACATGCTTCCCTAATTGATGCAGCAGCAGGAAGGGAATGTGGCAAATCTCATAATGGTTCTAATAGTTTGTGCCTGGAAGTAACACATTTCATTGGCCAAAGCCTGTCACATGCTATACTGTATGTTCAAAGGCTGTGAGAGTATTTCCAGAAGAGAATTCTTTCCTGGCAATTTTTTCCGAAATGCTTCCCCCCCCCCCCCCCCCCCCCCCCCCCCCCCCCCCCCCCCCCCCCCCCGCCCCAATTCCAAAGTCCCAGTAACATTTAGCCAAGAAATTGGGAAAACAGGAAAAAGCTGTGATTCTCCTGTAAGAATTAAAATATAAGAATCAACCTAGAGATGTTACTGGTCCAAAGGACTCACTCGTGGCAAGGTGAAAGCAAGACCAAGAAATGCTAATGTGTGGAATCAGAGGTTAAGGGTAACTTTTCCAGGAACCAAGGCCAGGAGCACCCCAGAAGCCAAGAGCATCTCATGAGTCAGTCTTTCTAGCTGCTATTGCTGTGGTATAAGTGAATCTTCATGGCTCTGTCTGCTACGTGAGCCATTCTTACACATAAAATAAATATCAGTAAGTTTGTGTGCATAGTATACTTCACATGAGTCCTATGAGTTATGTTCTAAGAAATCAGTTTTGGAAACAAAATATATCCTTAAATTGGCAATTTCAACACATGATTCTACTTAGTGCTGTTAACTTTGGTAGGAGATCCGAATGTTATGTTGTTGGAATACAACCCAGCAACACGCACTGGTGTTTTCCAGTGTTTGAATATTCCCTCCAGGCACAGGTCTTCGTAAACACTTAAATGGAAGAAATGCAAAGAGCAGATGATGTGAATATTGTGGAAAACTCTGACAGGAAATCAGAAACTGAACAAAAATCTGCGTTAGTAAAGCAGTATCTATTTCAACAGCAAAATCAAAACCAGGGCAAGAAGATAAGAAAAAATAAATATTTTTAATTTTCATCATTAAAAAAGGAAATAAACTTATATGAAGAAGTAGGTACTCTAGAACTTGACTCAAAAGTACTTTTGGATGCACTCCTAACGGTTAAACAAATGTGAAGGCCAAAAAGGAAATTGGTCAGGCAATTAATGCCTGTGTCTTCTAAATTTTCCTTTTAATAGTCATACTTTACAGAATTATATGTTGCGTTGTATTCAATTTTTATAGCAATTTTCATTTGACATTTATCGTGTGTATTTTTCCCTTCTTTTAATATGTTCTATTGTCAAATTTCTGTATAAGGAAAAGACTGTTTTTGCTTGTTATTGAAATACCCAATCTTATCACAAGAAATCAATTCATAATAATAAACCATGCATTTATTATATAATTTTTTAGTGAAAACTTCCAGCAGCATGATTCTATTAAAAAAACTGATCCAGTGGTTATTATGGCTGCACATTATTATTTAAACAAGTAAATAGTGTCACGAAAAATAGAGAATAATTTATGATTTCAGAATTCTTGGGAATTCTGATTTCTTATTCCCAAATCCCAAAGACTGATGCCTCTCAGGACTCTGGAAGTATTAAGCAGTGGAAGATAGAATCTGTCGAGAGCCTGAGATTACCATAGTCAGAAATTTTTGGTGGGGCGCCTGGGTGGCTCAGTCGGTTAAGTGTCCGACTTTGGTTCAGGTCATGATCCCGTGGTCCATGAGTTCGAGCCCCACGTCGGGCTCTGTGCTGACAGCTCGGACCCTGGAGCCTGCTTCGGATTCTGTGTGTCCCTCTCTCTCTTCCCCTCCCCCACTAATGCTCTGTCTCTCTCTTTGTCAAAAATAAACATTAAAAAAAAATTTTTTTTTAAATTTGGTGACTAGTACTAAGTTTCATTTAAATGGTAGGCTGGAACCCAAATCTTTCTTATTCCAGAACTCATGTTTTGTCCTCTACCTGAAACTTCCTCTATTGTCACTGTGTACTAGTATTCATTCATTCATTCATTCATTCATCCAACAAGAACTTATTGGACCTCATGTATGCAGGAATCATACGGGTCTAGCCCGGAGATATATCAGTCAGTATTTGTTGACTGCCCGATTACCAGTCCCTAAAAAGTGCTCTAGCAAGAAACATTGGTTCTGAAGGAATGAGACATAGGATAGCCCCCCTTTTGATGGGGAATAGAAGGTAAAGTCAAGAGAAGGACAGGGCAGTTGGAATGGAATGTTTGGTAGATGGCTGTTGGAGTCTCCTCTTTGCTCTGTGCGTTCTCACGAGCGCAAGGGAGGAAAGGAGGAAAGTCCTAGAGATGGTGGGCTTCTGAAAGAAAGATGAGAGGTCTTCAAGACAACATAGCACAGTGAGTAGGAGTGCCGACTTTGGCATCTCACAGTCCCGAATTCAGATCCTACGTCTGTGGTCTTGTCAAATCGCTGAAGTGCTCAGAGCTCTGGTTTTCTCATTGGAAAATAGGAACAACAGTTCCTAACCTCAAAGCGTATCATGTGAGTTAAATATATTTACTTACAACACATCAGACTCTTGGTACAGCATTTGGAACATAGCAAATGCTCAGTGAGAGCTATTCATCATATTTGATTATCATTTTGCCTGATCCTCAATAGTCTTGAGAATTTTCAAATATTTATGAGTAATGTGCCATACAAAGCTTTAGAAATTTCCTCAATGAATCAAGAGTTCTTGCCTAAGGGGAGACTATTTAAAATGCAGCCTGACTTTCTAGAGGGAGAAAAAAAAAAAAAAAAAGACCTGAGCTTTCATATTTCCTTTTCCATTCAGTGGTGGGAAAGGTTTTTCTTAGCTTGTTTGTCCTGAAACCATCGATACCGCATAAAAATAAAAGAACGTGACTGCCCTGGGATTTGAGATGCATGTGGTAGTCAGAAAGCATAAATAAATATATCTGATATGTTTCCAATATCTTTTCTTCTAAGGTAAATGTGGAACCCATCTCTCCTCAAGCCTTTTGCGGGGTCATGGCACGCCCTCTGGTGGCCCATCTCTTTCAATGGCTTTACCTGCCCCGATGAGCAATCTTTCAGAAGCCGTCTCCTGGTGAGTACTTCTCTTTTCAACTGAAAAGGAGGATCCACATGGTAGGGGCCACTTTCTACAGTCAGAATCCTAGAAATGGTCAAGTCAGCGCTGTTTCCATGGTTTTCTAAGGGAAGATTGCCTTGTGGGTGGACACTCATGAGTTGTATATGTTTTTTCAAGAACACATTCCATATATATGTCACCTTGTGCCTGTCTTGATCTGTCTGGCCAGAGTCGAGGCTAGTAAGAGGTGGCACCACGATGACAAATCCCCCTGGTGAACTGGGCCAATTCTAGGCTGGGGGGGGCCTCATATGCCATGGCGGGGAGTTAAGACATATCACTTTAACCAAGTGATCCTTACTGCAGTGGGGAGCTACCCAAAGGTTTAAGGGGAAAGAAAGGGGCATGATCATGATCAAATTTCTACGGCAGAAAGGTCACTCTGGCTAAAGTGAGAAGAACAGATTGTAGGTCACAAGATCTTGAAGGCCCATGGACAGTCAGGAGGAAATGGCAGAAGAGCAGGTGTGGGATGATGGTAGCCTGGCCCAGGTGGTACAACAGGAGACAAGAGGCTGAATTCCTGACGATGTTTGGAAGGTATCGTCATGTGAACCTTGGCTGTCAACTAGATGTGGACAGTAAGGAAGAATCAGGGGTAGAGAATGCTGCTCAGATTTTTGGCTGGGACAACTGGGTAGATGGTGGCGGTATTTAATGACATTAGAACTCTGGAGGAGGCCCAGGTTGGAGGGGGTGACCCCCTCAGAGGAGTTCAGGTTAGGACGTGTTCACGTAGAACACGTGGAATCTCCAGGACGGGAATGCCAGGTCGTCTGCTCATCTGACTCTCGACCCGAGGCCCTTTCCACTGTGTATGGCCACCCCGTCCTCCAGACATAGATCATTCTATGGAATGGTGGGGAGAAGGTGCTGTCAGGGACTTTAAGTCCCACCGGCCCAAATGATTCGCCTTAAGTATCTCTTTTGGTCTTAGGGAAGGAATAGTGGAGAAGTGCACAGAGAAAACCTCAACGTGACAATCTTCCTTTTTTCAATAGCACCTCCCTGCCATAGCAATACTGTAATTGATTCAGGAAAGGGCCATCAAGAGATGCTAAAGCCAGTTTGTTTGTAAACCAATTATCTACACGGTCTAAAAGTATCTCTCTACAGATTTATTAAGACAAAGGGAAAAAAGTTACCCTAAGAGTGAAGAAATGTGATAGCACCACCAAATGTCCGTTCATTGATTATTTATCAATTATAAAGAGGGAAAGAATCCTCTAAAGTAGAGAACTCACGGGGCGCCTGGGTGGCTCAGTTGGTTAAGCGTCCAACTTCAGCTCAGGTCATAATCTCACAGTTTGTGAGTTCGAGCCCCACGTCAGACTCTGTGCTGACCGCTCAGAGCCTGGAGCCTGCTTCGGATTCTGCGTCTCCCTCTCTCTCTGCTCTTCCCCTGCTCGTGCTCTGTCTCTCTCTCTCCTTCAAAAATAAACATTAAAAAATGTTTAAACAAAATAGAGAACTCACTTTGACCCCATGACTGACAGTTAACCATGGACAGACTGACAGCAGGTGCTTCCTAACATAATGTCCTGAGAAGGACATACCATGTGCAGAATTTAAACTCATTCAAGGGACAGGCCACACAAACCCACCTCAAAGGGCATGCCAGAAAACCACAGGCCTGTACTCTTCAAGAATATCATATGATAAGGGGCGCCTGGGTGGCTCAGTCGGTTGGGCGGCCGACTTCGGCTCGGGTCATGATCTTGCGGTCTGTGAGTTTGAGCCCCGCATCGGGCTCTGTGCTGACAGCTCAGAGCCTGGAGCCTGTTTCGGATTCTGTGTCTCCCTCTCTCTGACCCTCCTCTGTTCATGCTCTGTCTCCCCCTGTCTCAAAAATGGATAAAACGTTAAAAAAATTAAAAAAAAAAAAAAAAAGAATATCATACGATAAGAGACAAAGGTTGAGGAACTTCTCTGGAATAACAGAGACCAAAGAAACATGACAGTGAAGTATCCATATGGAATCCTAGATTAGGAAAGCATGTTATAAAGGAAAATATCGGAGAGACTGGGAAAAATTGAAAACGATCGTGTTCATCAATAGTGTCCTATCAACGTTAAATGTCCTAACTTCGATCACGATACCGTGCCCTTGTTCTTAGGAGCCACTTGCCCGCAGGTTTACCCATACGGGAAGGGTCAGGGTGTCCGCAGTTTACCCCAAACATTTCCTGTCCTTGTCTTTGCAGGCTACTGTAACAAAAGAGCACAGACAGAGTGAAAGGTACACACCAGAAATTTCTTTCTCATAGTTCTGGAGGGTGGAAACCCAAGATCATTGTGCAGCGTGACTGGGTGAGGGTCTGCGACCTCTCCTTATACCCGGACACGGGGAAGGGTTGGGGAGCACCGTGGGGGTCTCTTTCAGAAAGGGACCACTCCTCAGGAGCGCTCTGTCTTCGTCGCGTAATACTTCCCAAAGGCCTCACCTCCTCATAACATCCCGTTGGAGGTCAGCATTTCGACATAGGAATGGAGGGTCAGGGCACAAACATTCAGCCGCTGGCAGGTCCTGACAATAATATGAATACGTACGTATGTGTATGGAGAGATAAAGCAAGAATGGTAAAACATTACTACCTGACGACTGTGAATAAGAGTATAATGTTCCATGTACTCGTTTTGCAGTGTCTCTGGGGCTTGTTATTATTTTTACTCCAGATAAAAGGAAAAGACCTACCTCTGCCCAACCCATCCACAAATAGAAGAGATTCTGAGCACAGAAATGTAACCGGTGGCTCTCGTTTAAAGTCAAATACAACAGTATTATCTTTTATAGCCACTAAATTCCATCTTGATGAAAAGTCAAAATAGGAAACAGGTGAAGGAGTAATTTCCTGCTTCGCCAGGCTCTTAAGAATGTACAGTATTTGCTGTCCATTTAGAACCTGCCGGGTTTAGAGAGGAATTTGTTTTCTTTTCAGCGGAGGCACCTCAGATGAAAGCTGCTGAGGTCCAAAGAGCAGCGAGCTGGGCTGCTGGCAGGCGTTCCTGGGTCCGTGGGCGCCCCGGGAACCAGGCTGGGGCGGGGGCATCCGCACCCGGCCGTTCCTGCAGGGGGAGGTGGGGACCCTGCGGACACTCCTGTTCCCGGGGGCACTTTCTGGCTCGTTCTCACTGCCCAGGTGAGCTGGCGGGGAAGTCCGGGAATCAGAGTGCTGAAAGGGATCTTGGAAGGCACCTTAACTCTCTCTCCTGCCCAGCTGTGGATTTGATCTCCCCTTCGGGGTCCCTGCCACGTGGTCGGCCAACCTTGGCCGGATCGTAGGCAGTGGCTAAGAACCCCCCAGCCGGCCCCTCCGTTTTCAAGCAGCTGAAGTCACTTGAACATCCTTTCTCATAAGAACAAGTACCGGAGTGAAATGTCTACTTCGATTTTTCGAGGCCCCTGGTAAAACATTTCTAAGGAAAAAAACATCAGAACAGGTTAACTCACGTTGACTTACGGTCCATAAGTTAAGTCTTACAGGACTATCTGTTTCAGATCCTTCAGCGAGGCTTCTCTGGTTAACATCTTTCAGAAGTAACATAAAATTACGGATCGGGGTGCTTCTTCATCACCTCCTGAGACATGCTCATTTTATGACTATATTTAAAAAATTTTTTTTTCATGTTTACTTATTTTTGAGAGAGAGAGAGAGCACGCGTGAGCAAGCAGGGGAGGGGCAGAGACAGACGCACACCCAGAATCCGACACAGGCTCCAGGCTCTGAGCTGACAGCACAGAGCCCGGTGAGGGGTTCGAACCCACGAACCGTGAGATCGTGACCTGAGCTGAAGTCGGAGGCTTAACTGCCTGAGCAACCCAGGCACCCCATATTTTTTAATAAAACAAAAATAGGCAAAATAGAATGATACGTATACATGTAGTATGCCTATGTATACGTTTAGAGAGCACGTTTGAGTGTGCAGAGGTGGGGATGTGGGGGGGTAAGGCATCCTGAGGAATGGGTGTGGGCGAGGGAAGGGGGGACGGGAGGAAAGAGGAAGGCTTTTACTCTCCACCTTACATGTTTTGTCATGGTCTGAATATTTTTTTAGAAGAGCGTGTGCTATTTTTATCATTAAAACGTGTCTCTCAAAAACATTTAAAAAACAACAGAAACGAGAAATCACTTAAATCGAGCTGAAATCCTGTGGCCCAGCGTTTCCATTTTGTACTACACTGTGGGCAACACAGAATAAGCCTGTTCCTTCTTGCACACAGCAGCAAATCAGGTCCGTGAGGCCACCCCCCGTGAGGCCCTCTGTTTCTCTTCTCCAAGCTGCGTGTTCCGATCTCCCTCAGCTGCCGTTCAGTTGGCAAGGTCTCAGGTCTCCTTGACATTCTGTCCCCCTCCCCTGAGCTAGAGCGGATCAAGGGGGCTCAGAGAGAAATCCATTCAGAAGTTCAAATGGCAGCTGGTTGTCTGTTGAAAATTAGCAAGTCCGTGGTACCCTGTGTTCATGCACGAACTTGGCCTAACGTTGTGGGGTCTCGGGTATTCCATTAAGAGATGCGTCAGTGACACACAAAAGCGAGTCTGCAGGGGCCCTGTTATCAATACCACCAGGAGCTCCGACCGCACTTGTAAAACCTGGCCGACTTACCAACTCGAGCCCAGCAAAGGTGGGCAGCAAAGAACAGCAAAGGTGATGCCTGATATCCGAGTCAGGCTTATCCAGAATAAAGCCTCTGGAGCAGCTTGAAGCCTCTCGTTCCGTGTTCATTTACCATTGGAATGACCATACCTTCTGTCTGCCTGGTTGAGTCCTGGTTTAAGGCCCATTTGTCCTTGCATGACGATTAATAATGTCCCTTTTACTCTTAAAAGTCTTGGCAACTTGAGTGATGAGATATATACGGTCACCCCACTTACCACACATCAGAATAATAATAGTGGAGACATTTTCGTCACGTTCAAAGAGGAATTTCCCCCTGGCTTTGGTGATACCCAAAG